TGTCATTAGGTTCTCCGACGCCATCCTATTGTCGGTCATATTGTTATTAGTGTTGGAGTAGTCGTCGTATCCCTGTCTCGGGAATGAACCCCAGTCTCGGTTTGTGTCCATTATTTTCTGGTGTAATATAAATCTCATTATAATTATGAGCCGTAATTATAATTTATGACTATATTTAGGTTTTCTAATGAAACATAAATTGTGTTATTTATTATTTTTGTTGTTATTATTATTAGTATATTAATTGAAAATTCTATTAATAGTTTTATTTCTCAACTAGTAGTATAGTAAAATAATTTATATATCATTAACTCTCTCTCTCTCTCTCTCTCTCTCTCTCTAATTTTGTACAGAAAATAAATTGAATTTACATGAAAACACATGAAAACCATATTTTAAATATCAAATTCTGTAAAAAATATTATTCATGAATTGTATTAAAAAGAGGAGAGAGAGAGAAGAGAGAGAAGAGAGAGAGAGAGAGAGAGAGAGAAGAGAGAGAGAGAGAGCACTTGTCTGAAGTATACTCTCTTTATATCTAAATCTCATAATTGATGATCAAATGCAATGAATTATTCATTAATATAAGTCTCATAAAAAGCACTAACAATAAAAGTATTTATCCTCATATTTAAGCGTATATTAAAAATAGATTTATTTCAATTAAAGCTTACCTTGGTGTGTTTAAGAAAACAACTAAATGTGCGATTAATGAAATAATTATTTAAATACTATAGAATATAATTCATATTAAATTGAATTATACAATAACATGAAGTTTGATAATAACAATAAAAATGTAATAAAACTTGAATTAAAGGGACAATAAAATGCAAAATAAGATGTGCTTTAAATGGTATACACGAGAGTGGAATCGATATATACTTTTAGGAGTCACTCATATAACAGTATATTAATGAAAGGACTGGTAGCTAAGATAATGAGACATAATTGGTATGACAATTGGGATCCATTTTCTCAGTGCATCCGTGAGAAGCAGTAAACAAGCGATGGACTAAACAATCAAAAGAAGTCAAAATCAATTCATTCAATGGTTTACGTGTTTTTCTTGTGAGCAAAAGCACTGGTAGTCTCATCTTATAGAGTAGTATATACGGGAGGAAAGTCTATATGACTATTGATTGTGTGGTTTCTATGGTCTCTATAGTTATCATCGATCGATAATATGCTTCAATGGATCGCACAGAATATGATCCGTAGGTGTGTGTGAGCAGCACCTGCCCTCC